CTCTCACTCTCTCTCCCTTCTCCCTCCTCCTCTCCTCTCTGCTCTGCTCTGCTCTGCTCTGCTCTCCTCTCCCTATGTCTCCTCTGTATTAGAATACACATGTCGTTAATTAGTGAGTCTTGGAAAGTCATCCGTGACCTTGGAGATCAAGTGCGGAGTAAAATGTAGACGTGCAACAGAATGAAATGCATATTTTGTACTTGTCACATAGCAATCTGACGCGTTCAGGTATCTTTACATTGCACAAAGGCATCTTAGTCGTGCACACCTAGTGTAGGACATGGATTAGTCAAACGGTTGGTCACGTAGTGACACGTGTACGTGCATATGGGTCTGCATATACACTACCCGATTCGAGATCACATGTAGCCCAGTACATCACTCGGCAATCGTAAATCTTCGTATGCTTGCAAAGCACATGTTATATAATATAGTATTAAATATATTGCCTAGCATATTGGACTCCTTAGAGCTATCATCCAAAAAAATGCTGCTTCATAAAAATATTGCAAATTTGACCAACTCACCAACTATTCGGACATTCAAACATATGTAAGGCATTTGATTTTTTGAATTTACTGAAATATTCAATAAAATATGCAAAAAAAATTTTGTACTCAAAATCTTCTTGTAATGTATATTAAATTACTTATATAGTGTCTATTCTCGTTTGGTTATTCAGTGTGTGTTGCTGAAAGAGTAGCACAGTCCATGCTAATATCACACAGATCACATATGATATCACACTTGCAAGGATAACGTTGTGACAAGGCATAAATCGCATCTCTTGTGTCAGCAGCCAAAGATATGGCAAAGGTAGTACAGCAGTAAAATTTNTAAACAGAACACATGTCGAATGACGAGTGCACATCTCGCACCCACTGGAATGTACTCGTTGTAAACATATAAGTGGTTATCAGGGAGTGTTTAATATAGAATAATATATATCTATAGTATATTATACACTCCTAGTGGTATCACATAGGTGGGGGAAGAAATTTGGCCGAACCCCAACACACGTACGCGATACAACGCGTTACAGCGTGTATAAACCACAATCGCAACCAATGCTTTCGTACGTAACCAAAGCGCCAAAAAATGTTCTAACTGCGTCTATTCTTATAAACGCACATTTATAAAACTGTCGTGCTTCACGAAAATAGCGATCACTGCCTCCTTATTCAGGCCACAAAACTCATCACAGTCGAGTATTTACAGCGCATAGCGCATATCCGCAGACAAAACAGAGATCTGGCACGTATAATATATGAAATATTTAGCAAGGCTGTGCGCTTTCCCTCTGCCACTACTGACAGCCCGCGATACAAGTGATGGGGGGTTGCGTGCTGTTCAAACAGATAGTGTTTGCCTACGGGTTTTATCTCGTTACAAATGTTTGACGTTGTTCCAGCGGCGATTGCCTCGCGAACAAACAGTGCTTTAATTATGTGTTCGTTGGTGGGGGCTGGTTGGGCACGCACGCACACACGCACGCACGCGCTAACTTAAGCCATGCATAAACCAGATAAAAGATATCGCAATCGTACGGTATTTCTATGAGCAAAGTTTAAATGCTGCTACTTTAGTGTAACCTGTTCGTCGACAGAAATGAATGTGCTATGAATTCACTAACCGATCATTCTTAAATAAATTATTCAAAACAAATTTAAAGCATCACTCGCTTGTTGGAACAGCAACGAGGTGAAACATAACAAAGAAAAACTTACACCTCATTCTCCCCCACTGCCACGCAAGTATGTAAAAGAAAGCAGTGGGCACAGCATAACCTGTCATATTACAACAGTACTAACAGACTGCGTATTTCTTCTAGCTTCCCGGAAACAACTCAACTCCAGACGGGGCAGCACAATTTAAGCCTATCACCTCAACGTGACACAATAAAAGTGCCTTCCCATAGAATCTATACGTGCCAACATCAACAGAATATCTTCACTGTCAGAGCTTCATTGCGTTAGCTTTCGAGGTTTACACCAGCTTATATACAGATATGTTTACACCTGTATGTATGTGTCACTAGCTACGATCGATATATAACTGAGGTGAACAAGTGCATTGCGAGCAATAACTTCCCTGGCGATTTTGCACAATTGTTCGGGCTTTTCGCGTACATTTACTCAATCCAGCACACAGAAGCGGGTTGCTTATTTCGGGTTATATTTAAATACATATTTATTAATTCGAAAAATTTGAAATTTCGGATTATATATTTTTGAATTATGAATTTATACATTTACAATTTATTGCTCAGACATGCGTGGAAAGGCACCATTAATTCCTTATTCTTGCAGCTATATATACCATTCCGCTTTCACGGCCGTGCATCTTATACACACTGACAATGTAATATAAACACCTGGAATACGTTCAGATGTGTAAGGTGAGATCGTGACAAACTGTTTAAGCTTGAATATCACATGCCTGAAATGAAATAGCCTCTTAGTCTTATGGCAGCGTAAAACAACGTACACAGCACATTTTGGGAGCACCAAAGTGCAGAGTGGATTTACATTGAGTGTGTGCCACCATTTGATATCCGGACATACACACACGCACGCACGCATGCACACACGCACACACACACGGCGACGGTGGCCCAGCGCCGCGCTCGATGCTCGTACTGCCGCAGCTGATCATGTGTCATGTGCGAGCGGATGCGATGCTTCAGGTCGCTTGGCAGCTGAAACGCAGAAAGGAATGATGAAGTGACAGCGGAGGACGGCAGCTAGGAGAGAGAGAGAGAGAGAAAGAGAGACAGAGAAGAGAAGGAGAGAGAGAGAAGAGAGAGAGAGAGAGAGAGAGGAGAGAGAGAGAGAGAGAGAGAGAGAGCAAGAAAGACAGAGGAAGAAAGAGGGAGAGAGAGAGAGAGAGAGAGAGAGAGAGAGAGAGAGAGAGAGAGAGAACAAGCAAGACAGAGGAAGAGAGAGGGAGAGAGAGAGAGAGAGAGAGAGAGAGAGAGAGAGAGAGAGAGAGAGAGAGAGAGAGAGAGAGAGAGAAGAGAACAATGCTCGTCTACAAGCTATGGTAGGGTGACGCAGGGTTGCGAAGAACAGGGGACTGGTCACGCAGGTGGTGAAAGCACGTTTAACGCAGCTGAACGTTAATATTTTGGGCAATTCCGTTTGTCATAAGTGCGATATCGTACATTACGAAACGTGGAAGCTAGCGTAATGTTTTATTCACATGT